GCATGGCATTTGCTTTTTCTGCCACTTTCGAAGCATTTACTCGCATCAGTATGAATGAAAATTAAGCAAACACTTTTACTAAAAACCATTTGCTCTTGAGTAAATGGCCTGCAAAATGTAAAGCTTTACATGTTTATAAGTTTGCAGAAAATAACACTATCATAACCGAAACGGAAAGCGGCACCGGGGAGGGTCACGTGCTGGAGGACAGATACAAAAAAAGCGCATCAAACGCGACGAACGCAATGCCGTTATTACGTGCACAATGCGCTGTGCATCGGCACCCATGGTCTACATGTGGATTGGGTTTTCTACGGTGGCCCTGGAACGACATTTTAATATTGACCTTTTTAATGTGAACCTTGTAACCTCTTAATATTGACGTTATACCTTCGCAATATGCACGTTGCACGTGGCTTAATATCGCATTTTGGAAGTTGTTCCTTCTTAATGTGAATGTTCCAACTTGTTAATATTCACGTTCGATCTTGTCAATGTACACCATTGATCATGCTTGATGTCAACGTTGCACCTTGCTTCTTCGCAATATGAACCATGTACCTTCGCATTGTGAACGTTTGACCTTGCATCTTGTTAATATCATTGTTGAACCGTCCTCCTTCGCAATGTGAATCATGCATTCTAAAAAGTACGAAGTCCTTGCCAAGGTCTATAGTTAGACAACCAGTTATGATGGAGTTTCAATCTGACGGCTGTTTAATGTCACTTAACCTTGGCGTCTACCTTGTAGTGATTTTTATCATGACTCAAGGTTCTCTCTTTTATTTCACTCATCTTTTATAATTCATGTTCAGGCTAACCATAACCCAAGGTTGGGCATACATGTAAAAACATACATCCTGAAGAAAATGTGTCATTGTTTCAAATATCCCGATCTAATCATTTCAACCGTTTACTATACACACATTTATACCGGTTTGCTTTCTGAATGTTATGATTTCTTCTTCCTGTACTTTCATCTTTGCCATATCCCAATAATTTTTGACTCGCCAACAGGGCTCCTTACCACATAGTATGAGGATCCCCGCTGTTTTGACGAGCATTTTGACGCTGTTTTGACGAACCCTACATACCCCCCCTCCCTTTCCCCGGATATCCGCGCCTGACCGCAACATGAAGAATATTCGCAATTGGCTGACGACCAGTCATGTATGCATGAACTCCAAGCAAACAACTTCGTATAGGGTGCCTCGGCAACACGTGATTCGCGCTCAACGCAACGGTGTGGTCGTTATGCGGCGCTCTCTCGCGGTGGCGGGTTATCGCTGCAGTGGGTAATTGCGCATTCAATTTTCAGTCCCTACCTGATTTCGTGGGTTTTCCCCAGACTATTCTTCTGGGGTTTTCCTCCCACCTCTAAAACTGTAATTTCTTCTCATTGTCTTCTCTCCACGTTTTATTTTCGGGGTTTGCGAGCTACAGTGCCTGGGGCATGCACTTTTGAGGATCCTTGGTTTCATTACCAGAAAAAAAATATTTATCGTTTACTTCGTTTCGTATGAATATAAAGGAGTAAATGCTTCAGATTTCAAATATGCACTTGTCATTTACAAGGCTGGGTTGGGGCAACCTTGAAATTATAAAGTAAAATACTTCTGCGCAAAAATTACTGCATTTATTAAAGTTCATAAAGTACAAATGATACCATGTTCGTATGAATAAAACATGGCATTTGCTTTACCATTTTGAAGCATTTACTCGCATCTGTATGAATGAAAATTAAGCAAGCACTTTTACTAAAAACCGTTTGCTAAATTCTGAAAATAATTACTTTTAGGTTTAGCTTTTGCTACACTATAAGCGTTTACTTCGTTTCTTATGAATAAAAAGGAGTAAATGCTACAATTTTTAAATATTTACTTGTCATATTTCAAGGTTGGGTAAGGGCTACCTTGAAAATATGGAAGCACATAATTATGCGCAAAAATTACTGCATTTATTAATGTTAATCGCGAAAAAGTACAAATAATACCATACGATAGTTAGTGTAAATAAAAACTGGCATTTGCATTACTCCCATCTGTACGTTTCGTATGAATATAAAGGAGTAAATGCTTCAGATTTCAAATATGCACTTGTCATTCACAAGGCTGGGTTGGGGCAACCTTGAAATTATAAAGCAAATAATTCTGCGCAAAAGTACAGCATTTATTATATGTTAATCGCGAAAAATTAATATTAACAAAGTTCATAAAGTACAAATGATACCATGTTCGTATGAATAAAACATGGCATTTGCTGATACTGGTACTTCCAATTTTGAAGCATTTACTCGCATCTGTATGAATGAAAATTAAGCAAACACGTTCGTGTAGGTTTTATATGAATTAATCCCTAAACTCTATGATCTCAGAATAAATACAAAATTTCTATTGTTTTAGCCACTGTGACCTTGACCCTTGACCTTTCGACCCCCAATGCGATAGGCCTATGACCAAGAACGATCCACAAACCAAATTTGAAGTTCACATGTAAAGTATTTCTCAAGTTATCGCGCTGACAAAATTTCTTTTGTTTTAGCCACTGTGACCTTGACCCTTGACCTTTTGGCCCCAAATGCAAAGGCTTCTTAGGATTGCCAAGGACAATCCACAAACCAAATTTGAAGTTCATATGTAAAGTTTTTCTCAAGTTATCGCGCTGACAAAATTTCTATTGTTTCAGCCACTGTGACATTGACCCTTGACCTTTCGGTCCCAAATGCAATAGGCTTCTTAGGATTACCAAGAACAATACACGAACCAAATTTGAAGTTCATATGTTTAAGTATTTCTCAAGTTATCGCGCTGACAAGATTTGTCCGGACACACACACACACCCAGGTTTACGTTACATACCTTGTGTGGACATTCCTTTGTTTTCGTGTAGTTAAGAAAACTCGGTACAAAAAATAACTTCACTTAAACTGTGAAAACTCTTTCAACCCAATTTTTTTTTATGATACCCTATAGTGTTTCTCTTCATTCTGCTACAGACAAACCTAACCCCAAAATGCCTCTAAACCTGTTTCCAGAAAGGGCAAAACCTTATGTGGACACGGCTTAGTCCACATAACGTTAACACAACCTGCATTATGTGGACATCTTTTGTTCACAAGTCCACATAGGGAATCCCACCCACGGAAGGACAAGACGGAAACAGTATGCCCCTTCGGCTTCGCCGCGGGGCATAAAAACGCCTGAAAGGGCACCCCTAGCACGTCCAAGAAAGTTAGAAGAGCACTTTCAAGAAATCCTTCATTGGGCCGCCCCTAATTCCCCTCCCTCTCCTTGTGATCCCCATAGTGTTTATAATACATGCACAATTAGGAAATGCCGCCATTGTAAGTATACAGGGTGAGTGAACAAAAAAGGAAACCCAAATGGCGGGACCATTTTCTTAATAACGTTTTGCATGTAGTACTTTCAAAATCTAGGATATGAAAGCCGATTCATAAGCTTTCTTTTAGTACAAGAATCATTCAAATCACTCATATGTACCTTTCAAGTTACGGAATTTTAAACACAACCACTGTTTTAAAGTTCTGTCCATGTATCACAAAAAATGGTGTGTGTTCTTTCAGCAAAACGAAAACAATTCCAGCGCATCCCCCTATATGTGAATTGTTTTCGTTTTGCTGACAGAACTTTTAAGACGGTGTTTGTGTTTAAAATTCTGTAACTTGCAAAGTACATAAGTGATTTGAATGACTCTTGTACTAAAACAAAGCTTATAAATTGGGCTTTCATATCTTGATTTTGATAGTGCTACATGCAGAACTTCATTAAAAAAATTTGTCTTGCCATTTGGGTTTCCTTTTTTTGACTCACCCTGTGTAAGTTACTTGTAGACAATCATAACAATTTAGATATGATTTTTTTTTTTATAGCCGCCTACTTTAAAATGTAGCTCCACCCCTAAAGGGCAACAATTAGTTTTGCAACCGTTTAAACTTATCTTTACAGTGTATGGTAAACATAGTTAACCGATGGAAAAGTTGTGTTTTTACCAGCAAAAATGATGATTTTCCCTCGTTTGAATCAAGCTGCTCTAATGTACCGCCTCTTTACATATTTAGGCCACGCCCGCAAAAGGGTGAAAATAACACGTTAGAATGTTAGAATTTACAAAGTGAATGTAAAATACAGTTTTCTGAGTTTTCTTTTTTTGCACTCCCCTTTTTGAAAAATCAAGCTCCGCCCCCCAAATGGGCAAGATCCAAGATGCGTTCACCTCTAAAAATTGAGTTCGCCCATTTCAATTGGACATGCCAATTTTCAGAATTTTACCACCAAACTGAATGATGTTTTCCATATTAGAACCAAACTGCTAATATATACCGCCTCTTTTACCATTTAGACCACGCCCACAAAATGGGTGGAAAATTAACAGGTGTTAGAATGCTAGAATGTCTTATTTCATGTTTAAGTTTATTTCAAAGCGTAAAAAAACAAGGAAATTTGATGTTAAATACAGTTTTCATGAGTTTGTATTGTTTGCACCCCCTTTTTGAAAAATCAAGCTCCGCCTCCAAAATGTGCAAGATCCAGGATGGGTCCCGATCTTAAAATGATTTTTAGCCCATTTTGACCCCACATGCAAAATTTCATGCTTTTACCACAAAGTGCACGATTTTTCGCTTAGCAGCTCCACTAAAGTAACCTATACGAATTACATGTATTACTAAAATGCTTACTTGGATTAAAGATCATAGTGGCACTAAACACCCCGTGAAATAAGTCCGTCTGGTTGGAACTGTCGTTCAGAAAAAAATCTAGAAATGTAGGTGATTTCCAACGATGAGTCCTTTGACTGGATTTTTGGAATAAAGATCTATTGACGAAATCGTATTTCGTGATCTAAAAGATGTGCATGGTTTTCACTGTTTTCTCGAAGTGAAATACCCACTTACATGAAAAAGAGAAAAGAAGAGAAGAAACATTCTATACACCACTTTAGTTAGAAAATGGAAAAGTAAAAATGTATGCAATGCACGTCACCTGAGACTCTGATGACTCCATCGACAGCAGCTATCATCCAACCGATCAACCAGGCTTGGGCCACGAACTGCTCCTGGAGTGTAGGCAACATGACACCAAGAGCCTTGATGAGCCCTGCCCACAAGAACCAGTCCATAAACAGGCAGAGAACTGAAAACCAGTGCTGGTAAGAACCCTTAGCTTCATTTCTGGCCATGATAGAGGGTTTCGCGGACGAGGAGCTTCGATCAGCAAGACGGCCAGAAAATTATTTGTCGTAAATTCGGATCGGTTAAAATGTAACACCAGTTATAGCGCACAGCGTCATACGCAGTTGAGCACAAAGCGGTTGTGCGCCTATATATTAACTTCGCTCGGACGAGGATGGTTGGAATGAGTCGACCATTTGCAACTGGACCCCGTTTTCTTGGACATGCGCACAACTAATATCTATCAGGTGGATATAGGATTTGTTAGCTCTAGCAGGAACTTAAACATGTCATTTGGTGGTCGGTCTGTCTCACGGTGCCGTAAATTGTCCAAAATTATGGTGTTCCATAATTATGTGCCATCGGCGTCGCATTTTTCGCAAGAGCTTATTGTGCATTCGCACTTATTTTTGCCTTGAAACACTCCCTACCTCGATCTGATCTCCACACGCACACGCTACCATAATTCGGCCCAATATCTCAATTGGCGAATTGTAACCGGGGATTTCAGATTTTTTTCCCAAGGCGATATTCTATGAAATCATAGCCTTGACCAAGGCTATCAGCTTGTTCCCATACGAGCTTGTTCCCGCTACCGCACACCGCGCGAGCCGCGACACAATCACTAATAATTGTACTATACCGTTAGCCCCAACGACCCTTGCGTGCGCTTTGTGTGCATGCACGTACGCCCCACACACACTTCCGCAAACAGCCGTGCAGTAAGTCGAGGCGGACGATACCTTGACCAAGGCTATCAGCTTGTTCCCATACGAGCTTGTTCCCGCTACCGCACACCGCGCGCGCCGCGACACAATCACTAGTTGTACTATACCGTTAGCCCCAACGACCCTTGCGTGTGCTTTGTGTGCATGCACGTACGCCCCACACACACTTCCGCAAACAGCCGTGCAGTAAGTCGAGGCGGACGATACCTTGACCAAGGCTATCAGCTTGTTCCCATACGAGCTTGTTCCCGCTACCGCACACCGCGCGCGCCGCGACACAATCACTAGTTGTACTATACCGTTAGCCCCAACGACCCTTGCGTGTGCTTTGTGTGCATGCACGTACGCCCCACACACACTTCCGCAAACAGCCGTGCAGTAAGTCGAGGCGGACGATACCTTGACCAAGGCTATCAGCTTGTTCCCATACGAGCTTGTTCCCGCTACCGCACACCGCGCGCGCCGCGACACAATCACTAGTTGTACTATACCGTTAGCCCCAACGACCCTTGCGTGCGCTTTGTGTGCAACGCGTATTCAAAACATTTCATGGTAATACCGAACCAAACGCTTAAATTTCTTCAAGTAGCATGAAAGATGCAGCAAGACTTTTGTGCAACGTCACTGGTCGGCTCTTTTGCGGTGTGGCGTGCGTGGGACTGAAAATGGACCGTTATTGCCTGCATAAGTTGCGCATGCGCACTATTTTCCCCATTTTTCAGGGAGAGATTTTACGAATTTCCCTGTTCCTGACGGGTTGCACGCTTGTAAATAGGCCAAAAATCCGTCCGCCGAGCTCATGAATAAAAGTTATACCCTCAAAATATGCTTTATTGGAGAGTTCTCAGAGCCATGGAATATTGAAGAATTGAAGACATAATGGCAATATACCTATTTGGCCCGGACTTGGGGCTTCCAATTCTGAGCATTTTATGATTGGGCTTGAAAGTGGCGCTATTAAGCCATGTTGTGAAGGGATTCTTTTTCAAAATGGCTACTTTTCCAGTTGGGAAACATCATTCATTTTAGGGGTGTTCTTCTTTGAGTGAGAATATCTCAAAAAGTCAATCGTGAGAGTTTCGAGTATTTTTAAAAGACTGTGAAGTGTGGGCATTAATCAATAATAATAACAATAACGGAGTCTCATACAGCGCACGTATCTACCAACAATTAGGTACTCAAGGCACTGGAAATTATGTCAACTATTAAAGAAAGGTATTCATATGGACTGTGACTTCGCAGCCGCTATGCCCGTGTGATATAAAAATCCGACTCCTTTGAAAATCGGACTTCTTTTCCCCATTATTGGTTAATCCCTCACACGTGACCCGTCACTCTCCTAATTGTCGTACCGTGACACGCGCAACTACGAACGAGTTCAGTATTTACATGGAGTCGGATATTTACGCTACACCGGCTATTCGGCATGAATACGCCACTGGGCGGTGATGAAGAGGAACACACGACAGGAACTATAGTTTTGTCATTGGCCTTTATTGAAACTGTTCAAATATAACTTAGTGAGCATTTCTTTAATTTCTTTGGAGATAAAATTGAAAATAAATAATTCAAACTCTGACTGCTCGTGCATAAAGAAGTAAAAATCTTGTACATTTCAGTTTCTTTTTGTAGCCATTGTAATTTGTATAATGCGTGTTCAGCGACTCTCGTGTTTTGTTTTCTATAGAGGGCGCTGCCTGTTTCCTTTTTTTTCCTTTTTACAAATATACCATTTCAACAGTCAACAAACTATGCAACGTAACTACTGCGCAGAATTACCGTTAAACATACAGAGTTTGTTTATGGCGTGAATCGAGGATTTTCTATTGTTCCTCATCGTCGATCTTTTGTTTATACTGTAACTTATTTGCAACAGCTCCCATTGGTTTTGTACACGTTTTCTAATCGCGGTCAATTCAATTCAATTCAATTCAAATTTATTAGCACCGTTTCGCAGCTGAAGCTGAATTACAGGTGTTCACAATAAAAACATTATAATTATGTAAAACATTATATGTTACACATTAAAATTGAGAACATTGTTATATACGCAAAAACAAAATCAGAAGTTGAATTTGGAATAAACAACATTACAAGATTACATGACAGCTGGCCAAGATTATTACATTAATGAGAGATAAACGTTACATTACATATACTGGAATAAGATTGAAACTGAAAACTAGCACCGGTTATTGTTGATTCAGAAGTTTTGTGAGGTAAAGAATGGAACCGTTACCGTATCTCTTGGTTTTGATCTGGGGAATGTGGTAAAAAGGAGTGTGTCGTAGGCTCCTATTACAAGAGCTTTTGTTGTGAGGAAACCATTCAGCGTATTGCTTGGAAGTCGTGCATCTGGTAGCAAATGACAACAAAGGTGAAGACGTCCCTCTTCAAGCGTCTGGAGACCCATGATGGCTACAGTCTCAGTGTACGATGTATGTGTATTGCCAAGGATAATGTGGCAGGCCCTTTTTTGGATTTTTTTCAATTTGCTGCGTTTGGTGGGAGTTGATGCTACTATGCCACACTGGTGCAGCATACTCAACAGCAGGGCGCATATATCATGTATATCCAATGTACACCGAGATCAAATCCTCCACAGGTACACCAAAGCACTTCAACCGGCTGAGCATAACCTACGGTTACTGTTCCTGCAAGTCCCATCATAGATTAGACTGTATTGTGAGACCAAGGAGCTTTGTCTCATTCACCGTCTCAAGCTTTACCCCAGCAATTTTTAGATCAAGTGAGGCGGGAGGATGATTTTTGGTCGTCCTTGATTTGACTCCTGTCCTCAATAAATCGATGATGCTTCACATGACTGTGTGTCTTCGATTTATACCATAAACACGTACAAAATACGACGTTTTTATGCTCAGGAGTACACATTTGTATTTCAAGGCACGAGTGCAACATCGTGACCTCGCAACGTAGATTTTGGTTTTGCCATGCATACAATAATTTGCCAATATGGATTTACATGTACAATAATTTAAGATTGACATTTTGTGAGATGTGATCACGGAGTCTCATTACATTTATATTTATACGTTTCAATTAGGCGAATTCATTACGGAATGCATGAAGGAATATCTCAAGTTGAATTTGAATGTCGTGTCTTGAACCTCGCATGGATCCATTCCAACATTAGCGCCATCAACGACAAAGCAGTTATACATCCCAGGATGAAGAAGGCAAAGTCGTAGCTTCCAGTCTGGTCGTATATCCAACCTAAAGATGTATTTAAAAGAGGGTACATGTATTTTAACTACTTTAACAGGGGCCATTCATTTGAATTCTTGACCTTTTGTAACACAACAGGATGAATTTTTCCTTCAATTTTGATTTCCTTGTAGGAGATTGAAAACATGAAACAATTGTGTTGTGAATGTACCGAAGGTGGTGGATTTAGAGCAGAGGTGACTCCTTTGTGCGTGTTTATGGCGTACAACCGAGGACGAGAACCAAACGGGTTCCAAACATTGTCCTCGGTTGTCAGGTTAAATGTCCTCTGTGTGGAACGGATGATTCTCCAAGAAGTTTCTTTTTTACTGCTTGTTTATGTACAGTAAAATTAATTGGTCTGTTCCCTCATACGTTTTGTTTTAGTTCAGAGGAAGTGGCAGTATGTATACACCCTTTTTCTACTTCTCACGGACCCTTCCTAATTGGTAGCGCCCTCAAGAAAAATAATTATTACTTTCTTGTCGAGTCTATTATAGTGAGGGGTCGAAAGGGATAACATTTAATCCGCCCCGTTTCCTCGGATGAAAACAAACGAGCGGCTTCCTTAGAGAAAACAATCTTACCTGGGATAAAGCCAAGACAGAAATTTAACATGGCCCCAATCAGATTCATCCAACTGAAGGCACAAGCCAGGAGTTCAACTCCAAGCAGTTCCCTGGTGTATAGATCACTCATTACGGATAGTATTCCAGAAGCACCAAAAAAGACGAATGCATTGACGATCATCAGCCAATACAAATCGACCCAGGGAGTAATCAGTAGAGCAAAGGAACATACAACGATCATCATTATGATCCCTGGTCGCAATTTTAACAAACCACGATCTATGATAGGACCAGCAAAGATCTTAAAAAACAAGTTGCCGACCCCTGCGGCCGTGGTGAATGTCACGGCATCATACGCAGAGAAGCCTTTTGCTTGTGCTTGGGAGACGTAAAACAACAGCCACTGGTTGTTTACAAAGTGGTCAATAGTGAACACGACAGTTGGTATCCAAAAGGAGACCTTGAAAAAAACGGAGAAGCCGAAATGTTTCATTTGCGCGCTTAGGGCGTCTTTGAAGGAGCGAAGTCGTGACTGCTTCGTTTTGTCGGTTTCTTCATCATCTGCGCCAGGGCTCACTTGCTGATAGGTGGCGTTCGTCTGTGTTTCATCAGTCGATGGTGAACGCAAGAGGGCGCCACAGACCCCAAGATGCAGGCTAAACCCTCCCAAAATAAGCAAGGCACCTCTCCAGCCGTACGTATCCAACAACAATTGGGTAAATGGCCCGACGACGATCAGGGCAAACGCCAATCCCGAAAATCCAATACCGCTGGCAGTGGCATAGTTTGTGGTAAAACAACGACCGATGACGCCCCTTGTTGTAATGTTGATGAAATTCAGCCCAGGTCCTGAAGGGAAGCAAAACAAGAAAGAGTTCAATTTATGATCAAGTTTTCGTCAGCCTCTTTTACATCCTCATATTTTTTTCAATACTCGCATGTCGTGTAATATTACATGTTAGATCGGTATGGCTTCGAAAACGTGTGTTTTCGGGTCTCATTGCACGACGAAATTGATTCCGTCTGTATCCTGGACACCGTATATAAAAACAAACACCAGTTTCAAGCATAGCCAGGCACCAGAATATTCCGCACCTATACTATAATATGAAAGATTTTTGAACTTGCAAATGATCGTGTACCCTGGCGAGAAAGCAGCTAGCTAGTGGAAGCGTACTGCTCAACGCAATTCGGTTGGTCGAGGTTAGATTTTCTTTCTCAAGTTTCTCTAAACACAGTGCCTTGCATACAATAGCGTTATGGATAAAGACAAAATAATGAAGAAGGTCATCTCGATTGGATTCTCCATTTGGAGTCTTTGTAAAATAGATGTATTCAATTTATAATCTATCGTCAGAGAATGTCAAAACTCGATCCTCCAAACATTATTACCAGCTATGAGTGCCAGAGTTACGGTCAACATGACGACATTGGTGGTAAATGAAGCGACGATTATAGATGCCCCAACCATGAAACCGCTCACCGTCACCAGAGCGCGGGTACCAAGCATCACCTCCAGTGGCCTAGTAAAGATACCTAAGCGTGAATAAAAGTGGAAATAAAATAAAATCATGATTGTTTTCAACATTTGGTATATAGTTTTCCCCTACATACTTCGTAGGGGCTAAATTACCGCCAGCCCATAAATCATAGCCATGCATGCGAAGTTTGATCATGCACTCTCTATGCACATTACCGCTGTATACATTTGTACCAAGGGAGGATCTAGCTTTCAGGAAACGGGGGGGGGGGGGGGGGGGCTGACATACAGGGGGAGGGGGGGTTAGTGAAGGCGTACCGAAACCGGACACGCCCTACTAGGAGGGTCCGTAGGCTTTCCCCGAAATTTTTGAAAGCTATGATGCTTTCTCCTGCATTTTGCAATTTAAGAATAAATTTAGGAACTTTAGCAGTCCATTTATTATTTTTGGCCCCATGTTAGTATCATAACATTAGTCAGCGGCTGAACTGGGTGCAGTTGCAACCCCTAACCCCCTCTAGATCAACTACTGGTGTATTATAAAGCGAGACAAGTGGGCGGGCCGTCTCCGCTTTATGGGGAAGTTTTTTTTTTATTGTTTGGCAAAATAGGACCGAGTTATATGGGGACTTTCGATCTGCTGTCCCCAGTGTCTTCGGTTCCCATAGTAACATGGGACAACTCGTGGGTAGTCCCCACTACGGAACAAGTATACGCATGTTTCTGGTGTAAATCGAGGACACACATGTGAAACACATCGAGTAATAGGGGAGTGGAGTCAAATTGAGGACGAACATCAAGGAAGAGGTACAATAGAAAATCCTCGATTTTACACCATCAAAAACAAACCTGGGTGAGGGTGTGATGTTTGTGTATTGAAGATGGTCGGCGAGGCGGCGAGGCGGCGAAGCAACATGATCAAGAACAAACCAAACATGACCATACAGAACTGTTCGCTGAAATATATTGTCGGGTTTTGAAAGTACATGTAATGATGTAGTTACATTTGTGAAAATGTTCAGTGTATGCATTCCTTCCATTGAAAGAGATAAGATACCTTAAGGCTACTCGGTCAGCACATCGTTAGGCGTATCCTCGTTACAAACAAAGTAATGAGAACTTTTTTAATTCAAAAATCGGCAGGACTTACACCCCAGCACCATTATTGGAGAAAAAAAAGTGGTAACACAAGATTGGACCGTTTAAATATTTGGATCTTGGGGGTATATCGTAAATCTGACATTTGTTTCTACTTTTATTTAGCATATTTATACAACTCACTTCACTTGCAAAACTAGATTTTGGTACCATTTGAAAAGTCCATGTTTGGCGGCCATCTTGATTTCACAAAGTCCATGAGTTTTAAACATTGTGATACATCTGTTTATCACGAGATAGGCACTGACAAATTTGTGTTTGAGTGTTAGCCTATTAAGTATCGATCGGCAATCGCTGGACTTAGAAGATAAAAACAAAAACGTTGAGGTGAATCCCACAGCTACGTTTTGAGGAGAGGAACTTGAAAGATACCACTTCCGTCACTGGGGAGCTCCGCCTCCATTGCGATGTCCAGAGGGACCAGGATCGACGGTCAGTCTGAGGGGTTTGTAAGGGTGTATATATGGAACCTGGTTAATTCCCCTCGATAGCAAAGAGAGAAACTCTGAAGTCCAAAAGATGTGTTAACGCATGTGAACTCGTAAACGAACTAAACATTTATAAAAGAAACCTATAAAACCGACCCCACCACTGGTCCTGACGTATATGTAAAACATGCGAAGATGGCACTTGTTATCATTTTTTCTTGGAATCTTAAAGTTCAATATACAGTCGACTCTCGTTAGTACAAACTCTGTTAATACAAATTCTGGTTGTAACAAACATAAAGCCTTGGTCCCGACTGTGCATTTATGTGCACAATGAATGGGACTGATAACAAACAATTTGGCTAGGTCCGAACGAGTTTGTTTTAACGAGACTCGACTGTACATGTACAGACAACTGCTGTAATGTACAGTACGTGTAGTACGGGCGAAGGTTTAAATACGGACTGGAGGAGGTGGAATCTCTGGTCTCATTTTAGGCGTTTCGCTATTGCTATTGACGGAATCGTTTTTCGTGATCTGAAGGTTGTGCGTGCATGGTTTTGTAATGTTTCCTCGAAAAGTGTAATTTCCTCTGAGCTGAAAGTTCAACAGCCGTTAGGCTTTGAACATTCTTCTTTGGATTTAGTGTTATTATTGGAAAACAACAAAATGCATGAAATGCAAATGATCCTATATGCCTTTAATACGCCCCACGGGTGGTTCTGACTTCACACCACACCTCGTCAAAAGCCGGTTCGTGCTACCCACGCGACCAACGAAAACGTTCAAGGAAATGAAGTGGCAATCGTTCAGTAACCAACGTTTACTTTCTGAGACATGACTCCCCTTATTAATGAAATCTCAAGGGACCGATTGAGGTGAAGGTCATGAGAGACCCATTTTCCGTTATTCGTTCACAACATGGGAAAGGGTTTGTAATGAGCCCTTTTGTTTATGCCATGGTCGAGTACAATCAAGTGTGCAGAGAGAGAAAGATCCTATATACGCCACTTTTGTTAGAAAACAAAAAGGAATAGAATGCATTGCACGTCACCTGCGATTTTGATGACTCCATCGACAACAGCTATCATCCAACCGATCAACCAGGCTTGGGCCACGAACTGCTCTTGGAGTGTAGGCAACATGACACCAAGAGTCTTGATGAGCCCCGCCCACAAGAACCAGTCCATAAACAGGCAGAGAACTGAAAACCAGTGCTGGTAAGAACCCTTAGCTTCATTTCTGGCCATAATACAGGGTTTCCGCGGACGAGGAGTGTTAGATCAGCAAAACGGCCAGAACTTTACTTTGTGGCTACTTCGGATGTTGAATGTGTAATGCCAAAACCTCAATTGCCACATTAGGAACACACTCTCGTCAAAAATGGTCCGGGTCCTGGGTGTAGGAAAACCTCACTAGCGTGGGGTTTTGTGTAGAAAGGGCCAGAACGCTTATCTTTCCGGCTAATTACACTTTACCAGCTGCCAGTGCACAGGTGTAATCAGAGAGCTCTTGCGGTCTTGAACAACTACACAGGGGTCACACACACCATGGAGCTATAAAACACATGTATGGGTAGGATTAGTGAGTACATGTACATATGAGGCCCCCTTTATGACTTTATTATGATACAAATATATATAGAACGAAACCAATATATATAGAACGAAACCAATATATATAGAACGAGAAACAAATATATATGGAACGAGAAACAAATATATATCTATATATATAAGAGAGAGTTTAACTCGGCCTCCGAGACGATGTTTGCTCATGAAAGGATCCGAGACATCGGGCTCCCGCGGCGCCAGAATCGCTCCACGTCCGTGGAAAAATGCGGAGGGTGTCTTCCGCCGGGTCGGACGCTTCGGGTCGTCCTGATTTTCCCGTACGGACCGGCGATCCTTTTCGTCTATTTTTCGTGACTGCATTTTGCGCAGGAATTTGCCGTCGTGTGCGCTTTCACGTTGACTGCCTGGCCGCCCCCTGTGCTGGCTTTTCTGTGTGTCTAGACTGTGCGAGGTCAGCGGCTTCGACGTAGGGGTTCCGTTTACGTGTTCTACTCGGCCGTTCTGCAAAAGCGTTCACCAAATTGTGGTATGGGGTGACCTTGGTAAAATATTTTTTGTCCATGGTGCGTGGCTACCAAGTGCCCCTATTCTTTCATATGCTTCGCTTGCCGCCCCTGCGCCGAGTGCAACGAATACTCAGAAGGACTACACATTAAGTATGCCTTGCGCGGTCTGACCAATCGAAAGTCTACACTGCGTAGTATTTCCGGGCTATGCAAAACTGTCGATGGCAACGCGTACTGCAGCCTGCTCCACACCCTGGAAACGAGGTTGGGTCTACGGTGCTCGGTATTTGAAGCGCAAGCATGTGACGTCGCGTGATAGAGTGCTGTTGCTTCCATAATGTGTTTACAGTTCCATGCTTCCACCACCAAGGCTGAGCGTTGTGAGTTCGCTGCCCGCCACGTATAATTCAGTGTCGTGTTATAATTTCGGGGGCCTGTTTGGGGTCAACGAAGGATCGATGCATTGCTTCAAATATCGCGATCTCAAACGCAGTCACAAAAAAATCGACGAAAAAGTGTCCGACCCGGCGGAAGACACCCACATTTTTCCACGGACGTGAAGCCGCGGTCTCGGATCCTTTCAGGAGCAAACATTTCTCGGAGGCCGAGTAAAACTTGCTGTTATATAGATGGTTGTACCAACTTCAATAAAAGTTACCGACTTTTTCCTCGCAGACGGTCTCGCAAATTGTAAGAAGTTCAAGTTTACGTTTGTTGAAGAGTCCAATACTGAAACTTAATTATGACCTTCCTCCATGATTCAGACCGTTTGTAATTTTATGGTAACACTCAACATTTTTCATTTCAAATGACACCTTGACGTTTTATTGCCTTCGCCTGTGTACTACAGTAACCTTTTCACTACGTTTTCCAAATGCGACTGCCTCACAAAAAGCCAATTTAACAGACCAACGGCAACATTTACAGACAGTTGCCACGGTACATAATTATCATGTGCGTAAATCGACCCCGCCCCCCTCCCCCCCACACACATTTTGAGTCGGGGGGCAACTATATCCCCCATTTACATTTAACTCCCCACATTTTCATCCCCAACACTACGCCCTACCCGATCTATGATCGGGTAAACCAGCTTGTGTGTTTAATAGGAAGAGGCGTAATCATACATGCTGCCACTACATTTTAAGTAAAATGGAATGGAGTTTGGCCGCCACCATGCATTTAGGTTTTGATCAAACTTGTGTTTTCTTAAAAATGAGTGGTTTTTTGGCTAGGAAAATAGCAACTTAAGGAAGAACCGGTTTTGTGCAAGCAAAATTCAGGGAACAATCTGTTGATACTAATAACTTGTTGGAAAGTTCCAAAGTCATTCCAAGAAAGTTGCCGCTTGTAAGTCTTAAATAAACGGAAATCTTCCCTAGCTGGTTGCAAATACAATGTTTTCAAAAAGATTCATCAGCTCGCAGAGCCCCTCGTACTCCAATTTTATCATACATCCCATAAAAAGAAAAGAACGAGGAACGGCCCTGCTGATGCTGATAGCAAATCCCATCCTTCTCCCTTGTTTTAAACCCAATTCACGGCGGCAACTTTCTTGGAATGATTTTGGAACTTTCCAACAAGTTATTAGTATCAACAGATTGTTCCCTGGATTTTGCTTGCACAAAACCGGTTCTTCCTTGCTATTTTCCTAGCCAGAAAACCACTTCTTTTTAAGAAAACACAAGTCTGATCAAAACCTAAATGCATGGTGGCGGCCATACTTCATTCCATTTAACTTAAAATGTAGTGGCGGCATGTATGATTACGCCCCTTCCTATTAAACACATTGATATCCCCTCCCCCGACCACCCGGTCGGCGGTCGAAGGGGCGTGCATTCTTATCTTTGGAATCGAACCTAGACTCCAAATGATCCATGTCAGCGGACAAAACACTACGTTATTAAGTCACATGTGGAGTAGGAGACCAATCATATTACCATACGGCTGCGCATCCATGCATGACTATTAAGAAATCGGGCTTAATCTCCTGCCTATCGCACTCTGTATACTAAACCTCAAATTAAGTCAGGGTTTGAGACATACAACAAGAATGGTATAGAAGCGATAGTTTGAGAATTATAGCCTCATATCTCCAGACAAGCTCCAATATAAGATGGACAATCTACTAATCTCGTCTGCCCTCCCACCCCCGGCTCAAGAAACGATGAGGCCAATCAAGATCTGCTTATGTTCGTCGACACCGACGGCGATGAAATACCATGTGGACAACGCCAGTCGCCCCCTCCGCCTCCACCTCCATCCCGTCCGAGAAGGCCAGAGAGACAAGAAAGAGACGGGCACATCAGGCTCACTCCGGACGCCCTTTGGGTGGTACATCGTGCCAAAGTCGAAGTAGTCCGCCTGGCCGGCCTGAGAAATCGGGTTAGGAAACAGCAACTAAACTAGAAGAAACCCTCACGCGCGGCGAGACTCCGGACTGGCTTAGAGTCAATAAAAATATACCGACCCTTCCACTTGGCATCTCCTGCCCTCCCGAGATGATTGTCTCGTGGAAAACAAAACTGGCGGAATGCTCGGTGGAATTGGGCAACCTGACATTGAGTGCCTACCGTTCGAATCTCGCCGCGTTGGAGGACCAACTGGCAGCAGTAAAAACAGCGGGTTTGAGCCTGATTGATGCCAAGATCCAAGACCGTACGGAGCGGTGGCGAGCACACCGCGTCTTCCACATCATCGCGGAGTCCGCGGAGCAGAAGGAGGGCCTGTTTCCAGCTTCACGGGATGGGCGACGCAGATAGTTCATCTATCCAACTTACAAACCAAACAGCCCTTTTCAGAGCCACCAAAACTTCACAAAAGAGATTAGAGCTTTCATGTCTGAATAAAATAACTCCTATGTTTTATCCCTTTTACTTTTCTTCTCCTTCTTATCCTACTCTTTTACTATCACTTCTCCTTCCCCCGTGCGTTCTACAACAATATTGAAAAGCCTATTCTCCTTTGTTTGAAGGGTCTAAAAAGTACGATAGAACAATCCACTTATCTATTTGCGAGCATTCTTTTTGTCACTCATTTTGCTTAATTCCTCTCATAAAATAAATAATGCGAGTCTGGACTAGCCCCTTTCCACAATACAATAATAAATAAAGATGACGGGCTGCTCCTCACTCCATCCATGTATTAAAACATAATGTCAGAAATCTAAATCTGCACGCAATGATGGTAATTGAATTAAAGCCAAAACAACTCATCGCTTCCCTCCCCACCTTATCTCAACTTTCCTCTAAACCCCCCCCCCCCCCCGCCCGCCCGGCTGGTTCTTTTGCGCTTGATTACACACGTCTTGCCGTACCGTGACTTTGCACTGTCCTTGCGCATGCGCTGTACCCCATCCCTCGTCCCAGCTCACACATATAAGTTGCTGGCATGCCACTAAAACCAAAACCACAATTTCCACGCTCTCTTGCAGACCTCATTCAGTCAATACTTATTGAACACAATTAAGTTTAAATCTTAAAATTAATGTGGCCTGACGTTGCGAACTTAGCAAGTTCTTCTTCAGAGGCTAAAACAGAAATGACAGAGGTACATACATTAACATGGGGGTGCACACAAACATGCAGGGCTGAAAGAGGAAACACAAAAGGAGGATTAGGTGTGAAAGGTGTGGAAAGATGCAGGGGAGGGTGGATGAGAGAACAAAGAAACAAAGGGAGATGGCAAACCACAAGGGGTCTTGTGTAAACGGGGGAGGGACCAGAAAGGGGAAGGATCAAAGGTCACAGGGAGTGGGAACGGACAAAAGAGTGTGAGAGTGAATGGACGATGTGGGGGGGGGGGACATTATTGAGGTGGAAAGGGATGAAAGATGGGGGAAGATGGGTAAACACAAACAAGGAAGACCAGATGGATTATCTGTAACAGAAGACAATGGAGGAAGAAAAGGATTAATCATTTCCAAGTTGGATTAAGTTTACACTGAGTCTGCTTGAGCATGGCGAGGAGACTTAATAAAAGCCAAAAAAAATAACAAAACGAATGCAGCCAAGAATAAATCTGTCCAATCTCGCCAAATAAGCAAAAAGCACAAGAAATGGGCGAAGACGATGTCTCTTGAGCTAAAAGCTAAACATAGTATGCCTTATGTTAAGAATCTCTTGGACACTCAGCTCTCTAACATTGAACTGATTGCTCTAGGCAGGGGTTTGAATTTTATACCCACCCCTAGAAAACCAAAAAGGTCCACCATCCTTCGCCATTCCCAATCATTTTTCAGAAAAATGAGATTACGTCTAAAAATGGCAGGGAGAGTGAGACCTTCAAATTAGCATCCTTTCAAATTGCCCTCCACTTGGA